ACAGTACTTTTATTGGACAACTAGATATATAATAGGAGTCTTAAACCACAATTAAAATTGTAAAATTTTGATTTTTTTGGCAATTTAAATTGTTGTTTAAATCAATTTGATTTTTTAAAAATCATTTTTCTTCATGGTCTCTATGAATGCACACTATAGGGTTTAATCTGCGCTTGCACAGAGGTTTCCGGAATATTCTAGAGCTTTATGACGCGTTTGCCAGGACCGCCCCCCCAGTACATGTGGTCCACCCATCCTGGCGATTGCCTCAGTTCCTTTGTGCTGCCACAGATGTTTCATCTCTCGTCAAGCTCTCCATTCGCCACTGCTTTTGATTTCTTCCTATAATAAAAATAACAGGGAAAATTGTAAGACTTTTTGAGCTGTTTCTCCCTCTTCAGATCACCCCCTTTCCCCTTCCCGCCCCCTGCCATTTGGCCCCTGTACCACTGTTTAAATGGTGCACCTCGTGCTCCAACAAGATCCCTCTCTCAGACGGACATGATCTTTGCCAATTTTGCCTCGGGGAGTCTCACCAACCATCTTGTGCCAGTTTTGCAAAAATTTTACTAAACAAGCTTTTAAGCTCAGACAACAACGTCTTAGATCCTTTCTTTGGGAGCATTCTCTACATCAACACAAACTATGGAGGCTTCCCAAACCTCTCAGCCCCACAAAGGATCCCCTGAGATGTCCACCACTTCTCCAACAACGAAGCTACCAACCTCTAAACCCATGTCTAAGTCCACTTCTAAATCTAAGTCTTCAACATCTACTACCAAGTCAATACCGGTACCGAACCTTCCTTCGGTACCAGAAAACTCCAAACCTAAGAAGACCAAGAAATCCTCTTCGGATTCCCAGTCTGCAAAAAGATCTACGGCACTCAACAAAGCTACTCCGACAATTCCTTTACAGGACCAACTAACTGTCTGTCTTGACTCTCTGGATGATGATTTTATGTCACTACCTTCTGGTCAACCAACTTCTCCACTCCTTGCCCAGTCTCCATCTTGGGCTAACACCTCAGCTGAGACAGTTATTTCCCAATCAGCACATTTGAGCCCCAAATTCATGGGTTGCTCAATCTCTGTGACTCGGAGTTGGTTTCTGTTTTACCCAACCCATCACCTCCACATAAGCGATCCAGGAAGACTCACCACACACCAGAGACTTGCCAATCCGATGCCAGTCTCGCACAACAGCTGACTTCTATGGGTTTGTTGGCAACCCATGATTCTTTGACTCAGTATTGTCACCCAAAACAAGTCATGCTCTATGAACCACCAACTTATTATGAACCTCCCCCTAAGCACTATCGACATGGAGCGTATCGATATTGGCAACCCAATACAGTGGTGCCTCGCAGAACGGTCGCTCCGTAGAGCGACGAATCCACGCAATGGTGCCGTTTTTGTGATCGCAAAACGGCACATAGATAGAACACAATTCACAGAGCAAAGGTCGGTAAGCGCTTCGCTTACCGACCTTCGCTTTGCGACCCGCCGATCAGCTGGCCGGCAGGTTCAAAATGGCCACCGTGCAACCCCAGAATGGCTGTGCGCAGCATTTTCGCGCGAGGGGAGGGCGCAAAAATGCTGCCGGAACAGCCGAAATGGTTGCGCGCAGCGTTTTCGCGCCCTCCCCTCGCTTACCAAGGGAGCGGAAACGCTGCGGCCAGCCATTTCGGCTGTTCCGGCGGCCATTTTGGACCCGCCGGACAGCTGATCGCAGCCATTTTCGCGCCCTCGTTCATCGAGGGGAGGGCGCGAAAATGTCTGCCAGCTGCCCGGAAGCATCGTTGAACTGTGAGTATTCAGCCCAATTGGAACACATTAAACACTGTTTAATGTGTTCCAATTGGTTTTCTTGCCCCATTCAACGATGCTTTCACACAGCGAGGGTTAATCCGGAACGGATTAACCTCACTGTGCGAGGCACCACTGTACTGAACTTTACATTGAACCTAAACACTCACAATATGGATATTACTATCCTTCGGATGTGTTGGATTCATCACCACCTCTTCGGTACTGGCTGCGGTCCCATGACTAGTACCAAACCTCATCTGAGGATGACACCACACCTTTACCTATGGTACCGAAACCACATAGATCCTCTCGCAAAAGGAATCATTTTCCTGAGCCTTTCATAGCACAACAACCGATGGTGCCAAAGAGATCTCGCTCATGGGTTAAGGCTCCAATTTCGTCTACTGAACCCACTATTTATTTTATTTATTTTTATTTATTTATTATATTTATACCCCGCCTATCTAGTCATTTCGACCACTCTAGGCGGCTTACAACATAAGGATACTACACTTTCACAGGTCCGTGCTTCTTCCTTACAAGTAACAACTACATATACCGGACCTCCACCTGCGCCTCTTGATACCACGCAGCCTCGTCAAAAGGCTGTTCTAATTCTGACTCCTGATAATGAAAACAAGTCATGACCTCAGCTATAGAGAGATTTGATGTTAGCAGAAAATGAGCCCACTGGCGATACATCAGGTGCATCTGTGCCAATACTACTGTAAGAAAACCAAAATAAAAAATGATATCACATTACCATAGGTAATTTGTGGTCATGTTTGGTGGGCAGGTAGGTCAGCCTCACTGAGATTTACAGCCTTTCTTTGACAGTAGTGTCCCATGTGGGCCTGAACCCATCATCCTACCAGTACAATACTGTTGGACAATCAACAAATTTGTGCCTACACAAGGTGACTTCATTCTTCCAGTACAACCACTCACTGCTGTGGAGATCTTCCCCTTAGATGCCTTTTGGCAATGTGGCCGTTTTCCCATCAGCTACTAAGTAGAATTTAGGAACTTTTGTTTTGAGAGTGCAGTTGACTTAGAAGCGTAAATCCTTTTCTATTAATTCCACAAGGTAAAAATATTTTTTAAAGGTTTATTAGTTTGTTCTTCTCCAAAGAATCTAAGGAAGCACATTGTATTTTGAATAATGTAAGCAAGGATGGGAATTCATTACTATGGGATTCTTTAGGTTTCAGCTATTAAACTCTGTACTCTCAGCACTAACACGTACTTAGTGGGAAATACGCTTTCCACAGGTGCACGAAACGCAGGTCTGCTTTCTAGAGTACCTGTTTGAGCACAAATTTTCTATCTGTGTTTAGGGGCAGTCCAGCTACCTGATCTCAAAACATTAAGGACTTTGGGTAAAAAAAAAATACCAGCATCAGGCAGTGCTAGTGAATAAAGGAGATGTGCACATGGTGCCAAAGACTTCTTTAAGAGAACTTGATGCTCTCGAGCCAGACATGTTTAAAGTCTGGCTAGTGCCTATTTGGAGCACACAAAAACTGCCATTGATCAATCTCTCTAAAAATGCTAAAGCTGAGTGCCAAAGCTTCTAATGATTTATACTTCCAGACTGCTGCTGTACAGAGTTCCAGACTTCAGTCTTTTCCACCCCTACCCAAAACATGTTGTAACATTCCAAACCATAAGAATCACGATACTGTTTTTTTTACACATGTAAGCTATGTGTAATAAAACTAGAATATTCTGCAGGTTGGAAACTCCTCTGTCAAAAGCATTTTTACATGTCAGTCTGAGAACAGAGAGCAGCAAGGGGATTACAGCCTCTGGAATGCCTCAGTGTTCTGCAGATAAAATCTTAAGCATGTGGCCATGGTAGACATGATGCGCCAAACATGCATCACTTCTGAGGTTGGGATCCATTTCTCCCTACTGTGTGGAGACTAAAAGCTTGTCTTCATGTGCTGCTGGAGTAGATACTGGGTAGCAGTTTTGGCTGTTACTACTGCTCTGGTATAACTTTTATATATATATATACACACACATACACACACACACACAGAGTGGTGCCTTGCTTAGCGATTGCCTCATTTAACGATGTATTCGCTTAGCGATGAGGTTTTTGGAGCGATCTTGTGCTCCGTTTAGCGATGTTTCCAATGGGGGAATTTCGCATAGCGATGTTCGGGACCTTGCTTCGTTTAGTGATGACAGTTTAGGTCCCCTGTTTCGCTTAGCAATGTTTTTGACAGCTCTGTTTTTGCTATTTTTAAAAGGTGTTAAATTGTTTTAAAAGGGTTTAGAGTGCTTGAAATCGTTAGTGCACTTAATAAACCCTTTGTTAACCAAATGTGGCTTCGTTCTGACTCTTTTTGAATTTTTCGTGATTTTTTTTCTCCCCCATTGAAATGCATTGAAAAGGTTTCAATGCATTCCAATGGGGGAACTGCGTTTCGCTTAGCGATGTTTCCTATGGCGATTTTCACTTAAGGACGGCAATCCGTTCCCATTGGAACGGATTATCCGGTTTTCAATGCATCTCTATGGGAAAACGCATTTCGCTTAGCGATGCTTTCCCATAGCGATGAATACCTGGCCCTGGTACCAGGATTGTGTAATTTCAAGGGTTCCCAACTTCGCTTTGATAGAAACTGCCTTGTTTCCCCGAAAATAAGACAAGGTCTTGTAATAATTTTTGCTCCAAAAATGCAGTAGGGCTTATTTTCAGGTGATGTTTTATTTTTATTTTTTATGTACAACAATCTACATGTATTCAAATACAGTCATGTCATCTTCTTCTGGTTGCTGCACAATGGTGGAGGGCGGAGTTTCACTTCACTGGGGCTTATTTTTTGGGGGGTAGGGCTTATATTACAAGAATCCTGAAAAATCATACTAGAGTTTATTTTCAGGTTAGGTCTTATTTTTGGGGAAACAAGGTAGGTGAGCTGAACAGCTCTGCTTATTTCATACAGGATGCCATTGTAGCTTTCCTAGTGTAAAGCTCTGTTTATGCAGTTACTGGAGACAGGATAGCTGTTCAGATCAGGGTATTCTCCTCATTGCTGCTGCTGTTTCTCTCGCTTTTAAGGATAACAGTTAAGTAAATCTTTTTTTTAGAAGTGCACCTTTACATGTTGTCGTTTTTTTAGTTCAGGATGTTTAAAAGTAATTTCTACTTTCTTCCTTTTTAAAAAAACATTTTAGATATGGGAAAATTGTGTCTACGAAAGCTATTCTGGATAAAACAACAAACAAATGCAAAGGTATGTGCCTTGTTAATTCTTTTTTAAAATGTTGGCTTTATATTCAGTTTTTAACTTTTTTTTAAAGGTACATAGGTTTTGCATTACTTTAGAACATTCATCTCTAGTAGAGTTGGAATATACCCAGTGCTTAAGCTGAGTGCCAAAGCTTCTAATGACCTCTAGTCAAATATAACATGCATGGCACAGTTTGGCATTCAGCCTCTGCTTCGAAGGAGAAAAGGGCGTTTGCAAACGGTTTTTCCTTGCTGCCGAGATGAGAACTCTTTACAAAAGACCATTTGACTGCATGAAGTGTCTGAAAAGATTACATATTGTGTAAATTGGCTTTATTAATTAGGATGTTAAGCAGTTCCTAATTGCATGTTCCAATCCCTTAATTGTGTTTGTGTTCTGTTCCTTTTTTTTGAGTTTAACAGAAAGAGGGGAAAGGGTTTCATTTTCACTGACTTAATTATAGCTAGAAAAAAAATAATAAATTTCTTTCTGAAGCACTGGGTGCATTAATTTAGTTCGTTGACCTTCAGCATTCAGTGTAATTATGATTAGATCATTTCCTAACAAAATGAGTAGTGGGCAGAACATAATAGCAAACACTGACATATCAGGTTTCAGCCCTTTTTCCTCAAACAGAGAGGAAGCTTTCTAAGCAAAGAAGAAACATCAGCCAATTTAACTATGTTGACATTTACTTTCACTGTGAAAAGGGGGGAAAGTAGACCAACAAGTATAAAGAACATTAAAATGCATCATCAGTTGAATCTGGGCAATTTGTTCAGAGATTGGTATTGTGGAATCAGTTTTTACAAGTCATATAAAGAGCATTTTAATTGCAGAGGAGACTTTCATAACCTAAAACTTGGATTTCTCCACTTTATTTTTATTCCTAAGTGTATCCATTGAGGGATGGAGGTTATGAAAATAAAAGGGAGGTGTTTAAACAAATTAAACTGCAATCCTGGATCATTCAGGATCAGTTCAGAATTCCACTCCACTGCCCTCTGGATCAAGCCACCATGATTGGATATGATCACAGTTGACTATCCATAGGAAGTATGGATAAATACTGTAATAACTTCTCAGTAAATCTTTAAATTTGTTTGAAGATCCAAGTGTGTCAAATTTGTTTTATTGACTCCTTCCCAAGCAGTCAAATATTCTCTTCAACTATTGTAACTTATATGATTCTTAAGAATATCTGATTCAGGTTTCTCCAGAAAATATGTATTTCTGATAGTCAGCAATAAATACTCAGCCTTTCTTCTGTGGTCAGTAAAATGAGTACCAGCTCACTGAGGGGCAAAGTGTTCCTTGCATAATTATGTCCTAGTACTAGGCCAGCCAAAGAGGGAAAAAATTAAAGAACAAGGAATCAAAAAGAGAGGAGGAAGTTTTAAAATAGCTTTGCTCTAGCCATCCAGATTTGTAGGAGGCATGGTTAGAGAGAGCTACTTTAAAGCTTCCTTCTTTCTGTGAGCCAACTCCTTGCTCTTTTTGCCCCCTTTGGTTAGCCACCTACGTTAGCACCAGGACAGCAAGACTTTAAAAGGAAGGGAGGGAAGTGGAAGTGGAAATGAAAGCAGAGCCAGGCACCAGCTGTGGAGAGAAGAGGATTCAAATAGTTAACAAGCTGCAAACAAGACTGATTTCCTCTTTTGTCTGTTGACTCCTGTGTGGCTGGCTGAAGTGAATTAATGCAGAGAAACTTGACTTCCTGGGTTTGGCTTAACAGTGAATCCATTAACATTTTTCCCACCCTCAGTAACATGGTAGCTGGTTTTTGTTGTTGTTTTTTGCTTTGTTATGCAAAGGGCTTAACTTTTGGAAGCAAATTGCAGTAAATTAAGAAATCTCTGTAGATACTACTTACTGAATACTGAGTTCCATGACACAGTATGCAACAGATAAGGACTATGGGATTTCTTAGCTTACATCAATTTTCCTCTAAAAGTTACACCAGTTTCTGCATAATTGTGAAACAGCCAATACAGGAAAACTTATTTTCAAGTTAAGGTATGTATTTTCTATTTTCTGGGGGGATTGTATCATAGATTTCACTAAATCAAAATATGTCTGGAAGCTGAAGAGGAATGTGTCAGGGTTTTCATATGCATGATTGAATTAACCTTCCACAAATGCAAAAGTGGTCTTGGACCTAGTATGAGATTAGGTGCTCCACTATGAGCCAGTCAGACATTAACTACAATTTTTGTTAATACGGAGATTCTGGCACACATGAATGAGCTCACAGCATGGGGACATATGTTCCTTCTCAAGAGTTAGTTTGAAGGGAACATTCCTGGCTTAATAAAATCATTATTGATTAAGCATGAAAAAAGTGTCAGGCTCACACGTTCCTGTATACTTCTTCCCCTTATATCCTCCTTCTGGCATGTAAATCTGGTAGCTACGATCCAGTAGTATACTTCCTGATGTTTAGAATCTGTGATTCCCCTCCTAACTTCTGCAGCTCCCCCTCCAGAAATAACACTACTGGAATTTGGCCGTAGTTTTTACCTATTGGTTCTTGCCACATTCAGAAGAAGGAATTGTAGTTTAACATAGTTTTCATAATGGAGGTCTGAAATAACCTTTTCAGATCTTGGATAGTAAACCACAGTTCTCTTTGTGTATCTATATATCATAAAACAGTGATTTGAACACTCCAGACCTAAAGGCAGGAAGGCAGAAAAGCGAACAGAACAAACATCCAATATTCCTTTCAGCTCATTAATCCAGGAATATTGCATCTGAAATTGCCCTAAAATAGAACTAGTGTCTTATTTATCTGCCCTCACCCCCATATAAAGAAAAGTTAAGAAAGGATTCATTTAAGACTCAAAAATAAAATACATTATTACATTTATACATTTAAAGTCTGCAAAACAAATTTCCTAAACAAGCACCATAAACTTGCTTAAGAAAAAAAGGTAAGACGTGGAGGAGCTTGCTTCAAGCGATCCCAGTCCGCAAGATTTGCTGAATGTAAGTCATGGTTTTTCTCTTCTGAAATTTCCCATGGTGCCGTTGTGAGGGTAAAATAGAAACATGCATATATTTATAAAGTGCTACAACCTCAAGCCTTCCGATAGACTGGAAAGTGATCAAGTGAGAGGTGAAAATTTTTACCTTTCTCACAACAACTAAACCATGTTTTAAATTCCAGGTTATGGTTTCGTAGACTTTGACAGCCCAGCAGCAGCTCAGAAAGCAGTATCCGCCCTGAAGGCCACTGGAGTCCAAGCACAGATGGCAAAGGTGAGGTTGGTGCACTTTGACCCCTGAAAGGAACACCAGACAGCGTGTAAGCATTAACTGTGGAGAACATGAGAATGCGAATGTTCTCTATTAAATCAAGCAACCATCTGTCCAGCAACCTTTTTTCAGCAAGTGTTTAGCACTCAGGTGTCCTCGTGAGTTGGATAAAATTGTATATGGTGAGGACAGAGTAGCATCAAGGAGATTGTCTTTTGTAATGCATGAGCCCATATTCATCCAATGAAGTCGAACAGTGGAAGATAGAAAGAAAATACTTTTTCACATCATGCATGACTAAACTATTGCATTCAGGGCAAGGTGTGGGGGATGGACAACTTTTAAAATGGGATTAGAAAGTCATTGCCTCCTGTCGTAGGACTAAATCTTACCTCAGGGTCACAAGCGGGAACTTATATCCCAGTGGGTTGGAGCCCTTGCTGCAGGGTCAGGGTCCAGGAGTTTGAATCCTTCCTGTGCCTCCTGGCACTCTTGAGAACAAATTGATGGGCAGGATGCGAAGTCCCAGAGTGCCACCAGAAGGAGAGACTAGTAAAGCACTTCTGATTATTTCACACCTAGAAAACTCTGGGAGTGTTGCCATAATTCCAGATTGGCCTGACAACACAGAAACAGTTATCAGAGGCAATATGCTGTTGTTTGAGTAGATGAGCAAGGGAACGTGGTTTGTGTTCTTTTGTGCTCAAACCTCACTTGGGCTTCCCACAGACACCTTTGTTGACCAAGGCATAAAAAGAGTGCTGGATTGGGTGGGCTTTCGGTCTGGTTAAGCTCCCCTTAGATTCATTTGAAGCCCAGAAGCAGGATATGATGACCATACCTTAGCCATCTCTATATCCAAACACTGAGGTTCTGCTTATGTGGCGTGACAAATAAAGTTTAACAGCTGTGTCCACACATGAGAGTGTTTATCCCCACTGAAGGCCATCTAAGTCAGAGCAAACATCACAGCACCTTGCAACTCTAGATTTCTTTAGTCACAAACAGAGTTACATTTATTGCCTAGTCTCTCAGCTGGTGAAGACCTCTAAATCAGTGGAATTCTGGTAAGCAACACTTAAGTAAATCCTATGGATTCAGTGGATTTACTTCACTTGACACTAACAGTTTTAGCCTATCACTTTTAGTTTGGGGAGTCCTTTTTAGTCAACTTTCTCTTAAACTCGGCAAATAGATGAGTGGCCAATTCTCCTAAATGAAACCTGCACTGATTTATATTTTTGGAGTATAGCACCCAGTTTTCTGGGAGTTGTATTCCAAAAGCCTAATTCTGGGTATCTGAAATATTTGGGCCTTCAATCGTCATAGACTGTGGTCTAGCATGTGGTACAATGAGAAGAAATCACCTTGTTTTGGACTTGAGTGTGAGATGCCAGTCTCCCATCTTAGTCACAAAAAGTGGATTAGGAGGGCGTGGCAGAGGGAAGATTGTATGATCTAGAATTGGCTTCTTCAGCCACTTCAAGAAATAAAATCTATGTCAGCCGAGGAAGTGTTGCCGGCCGAATGCATGTAAATTAGGAAAAGGATTAAAGAGTCGATAATAGGAACTTTGTTCCACAGAAATTGCATGTCTGTTTTTAGAAAATGCAGAAAAATTTCTGGGTTTTTCTTCTTTCTTTCTTTCTTTCTTTCTTTCTTTCTTTCTTTCTTTCTTTCTTTCTTTCTTTGGTTTTGGTTTTGTGTTTTGTTTTGTAAAGGAAAGCAGACAAAGGGAAGGCATGGCATGCAGTACAGAGAAAACAAGGGTGAAGATGGGAGAAATAAATACGCAAAAGGTACCAGTTCTGAGGAGCTCTAATAAAAGTCGGCATTTGCTAATAATACCTAATCTGGAGTCTCTTGTATATGGAGGCAGGGAGTATTTAATCCTTTGCTCTGTTGTGCTCCAGCCCAAATTCAAGTCCTGCACCTGCAGTTTACAGGGGTTTTTTAATGCTTCATTAGGAAGGGGTTTTTTTCCTCTTCAGTAATTAAGTGGGGCTAAATAGGATTGGGAACAGATGGGGGGGGAGAATAGCTAAAGCCCCTCTTTCCCCATACTAGGTACCAAGTCCATGTCAAATTCTCCATGCTTGATTTTGAGTAGAAAGATGCTACACATTTGAGGCATGCAACTATCAGATTCCTTCAATGTTGTCCTTTGCTTGTATCTGACACTTGTCTGGTCAGCAAGTGATAGTAAGAAAAGAATATTTGGAGAAAGCAAAGAATGGGGGCTTTTGCAAACCGGGAGTAACACATTATCTGAACTTCTTGGAGCAATATGTTGAATCCCCAGTGACATGTCGGCCCTGTCTTTTGTATGTATTCTTCTGACATTCATTAAAATGCCTCCTTTGAGGTTTCAAAAAACATAATGGTACTTTAAATGTTTAAGTGATTAAAGATGAAAACGCTTCAGAATGACTGAACATTAGACCTAGTCTTCCTTTACTATCAACCGTGTGTCTCTTCAGTGTTGTGTAAGCAGGGAGGCATTTTCAGCTGATACTTTTCCCCAGATTCTCAACTAGCTATCTGAAATGCCTTTGGATGAGTTCCAGGAAAACAAAATGAAAACCATACGTTTATTGCTTAACACACTTTTTATCACATGCGTATGCATTTGCTTTTGCTAGAGTCAAGCCAGCTCTCTTAGCATGTGACACTATGCCAAAAGGAAGGAATATTACACATTTGTTTTCAATTATGATAAACTTCTACTACTTCTGGATCTGAATTTGATTGCAAATATATTAAGAGAAACAGGATTGTTTTGTACGTTTTCTAAAATCCACAGGTGTGCTGTCAATAAGGCTCATTCTGGACTAAGGTTTAGAATACATGATGGTGTAAATCTGAAAAGTATTCATTGCTCTGAATGGCCAAGCAATGATGGCCACCCTCTCAAATAATCATGCATGTTCCTTAGTTAGGCTAAAATGATGCCAAAAATTCAAGTGTGTTGATCATATACCATATTTTTCCATGTACTATACTTTTTTCTAAAAATTTTAGACCAAAAATTGAGGGTTGTCTTATACACAGAAGTAAGCTGAGAAGAGTACAAAAACAAGTGGAGGGGAAAGCAGGGATCAAATTATTCATGCAGGGCTTTGATCCCTGCTTTCCCGTCTGCTTGCTAAGTCCCATGGGGCTTAACAGTAGGAGGGGGGAAAGAATCAAAGCAATCCCATGGCTGTACAAGGGGGAAAGGGATCAGAACGATTGTGCAGTTGCAGAATTGCTTTGATCCCTTTCCCTCTCCTTTTTCTAAGCCCCATGGGGCTTAGCACAAAGGGAGAAAGCAGGGATCAAAGTGATCCTGAAGCGCTTTGATCCCTTTCCCCCTACACTTGCTAAGCCCCACTTAGATTTCTTAATTTTGGATTAGAAAAGTAGAGGGCGTCTTATACGTGGAGGAGTCTTATATACAGAAAAATACTGTGTGTGCGGTGTCAAAGTATAAAGGAGTCTTTCAGTGTGAGCTCAAAGTAAAGTTTTGAAAATGTGCTTCAGTGAGATGAAGTATGAGTAATGTTTTTAAACAGTAGCTGTATAATTTAAGTCATCTAATGAACTTAGTATGTCGTCTGATCAGAATTCCTGTATTAGTGAAAGTTAGCTGGATAGCTCAGTAAATTAGGTATCTGGTTGCAGAGCCAGTGGTTGGGAGTCTGATTCCCCATTGTGCCTCCTGTGAGTAGAGCCAGCCTATGTGGCCTTGGGCAAGCTGCATAGTCCCAGGATGCCCAAGAAGGGAATGTAAATCGCTTCTGAGTGATCTCAATGAAAAAAAAAAAACCACCCTGAAAAGGGGTCACCGTGTCAGAATTGACTTGATGATGATAATGATAGAATGGAAAATACATGTATTGATGTGAAGAGAACTAGCTGATTAAGATTGTTACTCTGGTTCACTCATGTAGCGAAAGAGTTTCTGGGTAATTTAATGTAACAGTATGGCCTAAATTGCTAAACTCTTTCTAAATCTCTATGCAAAGATGGCAGTGTTTTTGAGTTCTTATGATGCTTAGCAAGCTTTGTATCAGTAGCTTTGTCCCTTTCTGACCAACCACGCAGGAGGACTCCCCTCTGCAGTGATTTCCCTTATCAGTACTATCCAAATTTTCAATAGCAGTGAACCTGTTGTGATGAGATGATGCATTTTGAAGTTTCCTCCCAGTTAGACTGGGACCTTTGATGTTGTGAAAACTCCGTAAGAAATGAAATTACAGTGGTGCCTCGCTTGATGACGTTAATCCATTCCAGCGAAATCGCTGTAGAGTGAAATCGTCGTCAAGCGAAAGTAAAAAGCCCATTAGAATGCATTAGAAACTGGTTAATGCGTTCTAATGGGCGAAATACCTCATCGTAAAGCAAAGATCCTCCATAGGGTGGCCGTTTTCTGCTCCCTGTAGAGCGAAGAATCCGTCCCTAACACAGCGGGGAGCCATTTTGCACAGCAGGCAGCCATTTTGGAAACATGACTATCAGCTGTTTTGAACATCGTTAATCGAAAAATTGGTTCCCGAAGCAGGAAACCGATCATTGTAAAGCGGATTTTCCCCATAGACACATTGTTTTGCAATCTCAATAGCGATCGCAAAAACCTCATTGTACAGCGGATTCATCATACAATGAGGTAATCGTCAAGCGAGGCACCACTGTAATGTAAGAATCCAATCCGAGAAAATAGAATCTAGTTTTAGTAGAATTTTTTGTAGATCACTACTGGTGAAGCTCAAGTATCTTGCCTTTGGAGACAAGATGCTCACTTTCTGAACATGATGGCTAGGTTGAGGAAAGTAAACTGTTACATAAGTCATAATGACAGATGAAATTATAGACTTTGGTTTCAAATATTTCCAAAATAACCTTTGGAAATAGAATTTACTAGTAATGAACATAAAAGAACACTGTCTTCAGCTTCCTTGTTTGCAACTGTAATGCACAACTGATTCCTATTTTGTTCCCACAAATGATGCTTACATCTAAAATGGCATATTCTAAATATGCTGCTTGCACATTACATGAGATTACTCAGGACTGTTACTCACATTGCACAGTAACAAGCTGATGGTAGTCACAAGGAATCTTTGTGTGCATAAATGATCTGTGCATTTCCAGGCACTACTTTGGTAAATGCTTTTTTAAAATCTCATATGTGAACCCTTGAAAGGGCTAATATGAAAAGAGGCATTCTGTTTTAACATTCTGCTTGTTGGTTGGTTGGTTTGTTGGTTTGTTCGTTCGTTTGTTGGTTTATAGGGTCACCTTTCTCCTGATAAGGGGAACCAAGGTGACTACTTATGTGCATAAAAAAACACCTGTTGTTTTTAGCTCATATATTTGATTAAATCATATTTTTTGTACTGGCAAAGAGTACAGCCGTTTTGTTTTGGTTGGTTGGTGAAAGATACTTGGTCTGTTTAGGTAAGCAGTTAGGAAACATTTTGATGCTTTCAAGTTATGACTAAGATGCTTGCTGTGATGCAGGGAAGATGCTGTTTTTCATGGAGAATCCACTTGAAGAACCATGTTTACAGGTAAGTAACCTGTCCTTTTAAGACAAAAGGAGATACATGTCTTTGGCCAGTGATACCTGGATGCAGTGTGTTATCCTGGATAGCTCAAGTGATTTAGGTATCTGTGGAGCCAGAGATTGGGAGTCTGATTCCCCCACTGGGCCTCCCTGACGGGGCAGAACTCAATGATCCATAGGGTCCTTCCGGCTCTGCAGTTCTAAGATTTTATTACTATTATATCCTGTTCTTAGAAATGCCTGTGCATACTTTTTAAAATCATTTTGTGCATTTTAGAATACAGATATGCTGTTTGACATGTAGAACCTTGAGATCTTTACCTGCTTTTTCCACATATTCCATTCCTCTCTTTTTGTTGCTTTTTGATTGTCTAAATTTTGGGGGGAAACTTGCATGATATAATATATATTGGTGTGCAGATTTGTAGTTTTGTACTCTTTAACTCCAAAACTCCCTAGGCAACTATACTGCTTTGGGAATTCTGCGATTTGTAGTCCAGAAACACAAATCTGCACACCACTAATCACGTGTCAACATTTGTGGTGATAATCTCTAGCCTCATTTCTAGTTTTTATAGTCTTGACTTTGCCTCCATATTTGTTTGCATCTAATATTTGCTACATTTACATCTGAGCCTTTCTATAGGAAGCTCAAGACAGCTTGCCATGGCCCTTTGCCCTGTCTTCATCTTCACAGTAACCGTGTGAGGGTGGATTAGGCAGAAAGGAAGTGAGTGCCATCTCACCACTACACAACAGAGGCTCAGCATCATGCTACATAAATTAACATGCCCTGCCGCTCTAGAGAGTAAATGTGGCTGCTCCACTCTTGGGCTTATTTCATCCTCTGAAGGTAGTGGACTCAATAGATCTATACAGTTGATTGTAAATACCTACAAAACAATCAACCAAAATAAATAGTTTTGATTTACAATGCTTTCACAAACCAGTGTATTTTTGTTTCACACAGAAGCCTGTTGCCACCCCCTCAATAATCTGGAACCAGATTTGTCGCTTCTAACAAGTCTCACAACGTTGTTTTCTTAAACAGTGTCTTTATACAAAAGGTTGTCTTCCTGACCGCACTGAGGAATGTCTCCATTCTCATGAATTGAAAAGCAACTCTTGTTTCACATTTTATCAACTGTGTTTTTGTACCGTGGCCTGGCATGAAATAAAAGGCGTCTTTCAGCCACGCTTCTTGTCTTGTTTGAATGTCACTATAATATAATCAGGAAGCAAAGATAGTCT